ACATACGGCAACACCATAGGTGAAGGAGGCAGAGACAATGATGAAAGTGGAGAAGACAAGAAGTGGAGTTGTAATTGCAGATACTTCATCATCACTATCTTCCCTCTTTACCAACAATAATCCTTTCTCCATATTTTTATATATCTCCCTTCATTTTCTTCACTCAAGCCTTAATGAAGAACAAAGAACAAGAGAGAGATTTGCGTGAAGTGGAATGTTTTCTCCTTTTTTGTATTTACAAAATAATTGTTTTCTCCGCTTCTCTATGATATATAGACTTTTCTACTATTTGATTAACCATATAGAATGAAAGAAAATATACTGTGGTGTAGATGTATCTAGCTTTTATCGTGTCTAGGTTCATGTTCAATGTGTGTGTTAACCAACATTACGGTTTGGTACATTTTGGTTATTTTCTGGTTTAAAGCTTCGGTTTTGTTTTTGTAATTCAACGAATCATGTTGCCTCAAAAATTTACTTATTAAGAGTTTACGTAAAGAAGAAAACTAAAGGCGAGAACAAAGGACAAGTTATCTTATCTTAGTTCAAGATGCTCACGAAACAATAGTAAACATGTGGCTCTTATTTAATTATTAAGAGTCTTGAATTGAATGTTTATCGTTTACAAATTTATAAAAACACAAATCAAATCGTAATTTTTTAGAAAAAAAAAAAATCAAATCGTAATTAGTCCACGTTTCTTAAAACTTAAGATGTAGACAGTGGCGGAGGTAGAGAAGGATTAGGGGGATCATGTGACTCCTATAAAATTAACATATTTTTTTTAGTGCAAATTTGAATTAATTTGATGAAATATTTGGTTAAAACTAGTGTATGACTCCGATAAATTTTTGTTCAAATTTCCAAATAGCCCCCCACTGATCCATATGTTTTTTCATATTAGTTTTACAATATTAAATTCGTTTATTATGATCCCGATAAAATTTATTTCTAGATCCGGTATTAGATGTAGAAATGTACAATTTAAGATGTGATAGAAAAAATAAAAATAAATGCATATTTTAAGAGGTTTTGATTCATTGAATCAAGACGCAACAAAAAAAATGTCAATCAAACGTATTGAAATTCCACCTACTCACGATCAATCAACGTTTTAATATTTAGAGGTTAGACGTCAAACGATTTTGGCTTGGTTTGACCAATAAATTAGATTTTCACGCGCAATTTGAAAAAGTTCAAGACCCAACAAGACCGAAAATTGTCAGGTTTAATCATTAAACCGGTCAGAACCGCTCCAAACGTAAAGCTGCTTTTGCGATTGCCTCGAATTGGTTTTTCAATTTGGGAGTGAAATGTTATCTCTTTCTTTTTTTCTAGAATTGAGTAATCCCGGTCGAAACCAACTACTTCGGAGGTGGACAAACTCGTTGGATACCATCAACAGCGAAGTGGTCCAACAATAGCAAAGTTGTCTAAAATGAGAGACGGATTGAGGAAAAAAACAAATTTACGCTTTGTTTGTAGTCAATTACCACCTACCGTCACTTTGTATTTTTTTTTATCATTGATTGATTGATATAGGGAAGCAAATTATTTCCTAGTTTTTTTTTTTCTTTTGTCGTATTTCCTAGTTAATTAACAATTCCATATATATATATATTTTTTGTTTATTTTCCAAAATACTATTATATAAGTGCTCTAATGGTCAAGATTTCAAGAATCAAGATTAGGTATGCTCACAACATACATGTGTATGTGTATGCATAACATAAGCCATATATGTATGTGGCCATATTAGACCATCCACATTAGAGACAAAATGTGGATGTCTCTAAATAAAAAAATATTAAAAACACACTCTCTCTTCTTTTTATTCAACTTTATACTTTTTCTTTCATCATTTTACTCAACTTTTATTAATTTTATATTTAAACACTCTCTCATCATTTTAAGAACACTCTCCAAAAGTTCTTATTTAARAACACTCTTYTTCCTTTTACTCAACTTTTATTAATTTTATATTTAAAGACACTCCAACTTTCATCCATTCTCTCTCAAACTTTGTCTTTCCCGAGACATCCTCTCTCTAATAATACTCACTATCTCATATCTTTACTCAAATTTTATTAATTTTATATTTCAATACACCCCATTATTTTAACCAAAAACACTCTCTTTTTTCTTTTTACTCAATTTTTAATAATTTTATATTTAAAGACACCTACAAAAGTCTACAATATGGATGCTCTTATATACTACTTTTTATGGTTGACTTTTGAATCATATTCAAAGACACGTTGGAGAACACCGAAGGTTAAGGGATTAGGCACGTTGGTGAAAGTGAGCAGACTCATCAGTTAGTGGATTTTTTCCTAAAAATAGTCACAATAAGTCAGCTTTAAGTGTCTCCAGCTCCTTAATTCTTCAAGCAGACACAAAACACATACACTTTTTCTCCGCAGCTCTCGGATCTCTAGTTTCAAATAGCGTTTTCAACTTAGAGGTTGAGAACAAACTCATGAATCTCTTCGACTCTTCTTGGAGAAACCATAGAGGAAAGGTTTCCATCAAAACATCAAGGAATATCTCTTCTTGTCCGGTAATGTTCTTCTCTACTTAATGTTCTTAGATAGAAATTAGGCCTTAGCTCTGTGATTTTCTCTGTTTGATTCCCCGGTAATGTAGGAAAATCGATGTAAGCTAGAGAATTCGAAACAAGCGTAATTAAAAGATTCACACTTTACTCTGTTTTTCTCAGGACAAGATTAGAATCAATCACTGAAAGAAATTAGCTTTTTGGTGAACTGAAGAAGAAATGGGGAGATCATGTTTGCCGAGATGGCGATTAGGAAGGCTAATGGCAGGATTACAAGTGATCTTTGGGTTACTAGTGATCACTGTGAGCCTCTCATGTCTCTATAGGTTCCATTCCGCGGGTTACTTCTTGCACAACGAAGACAATTGCCATAATATCTACACAATCAAAGAAGTCAACAATGAAGGACTCGACATAAAGGCGCTGCATGATCGCGTTGATGAAGTCCTGGAAATGATGGATAACTTGTACGAGAAGCTCGAAAAGACGGTAAAAGAAATGGAGAAGAGCAAAGAAGGAAGCAAAAAAGAGATCAAGAAGTTTCTTGAAGATGAGGTGATGAAGCCATTTTATTCTGCTCATATCGGTTTAAGGCAAATCCGGTTACCAAAACCCGAAGGAATCAGAAACTCGACGGAAAAGGAAGAGCCTTTGATCAATAAGTTTCTCATTGAGGAGATAAGGAAGTACATTACCCCGAAGGAGAATCGGGTTGGGAAGATAAACATGTTTGGAACAGAGAGAGTTTACAACACTATAGGGCATGCTTGTGTGCTGATGAAGACGGATCTAGAGAAGTATATGGACTACGATGTTGGAGCCTATTGCGATGATGATTGGAACTTAGCACAGAAGCTTATACTTAACGGGTGTGACCCGTTGCCTAGAAGACGATGCTTAACAAGAGCATCAATGACTTACCAGAAGCCTTATCCGATCAACGAGTCATTATGGAAGCTTCCTGATGATAGAAATGTAAGATGGGGAAACTACCAATGCAGGAATTTCGCGTGCTTATCAAGCAAGAATCCGAAAAGAGGTTACACGAAATGCAGTGGATGCTTTGAAATGGAGAAAGAGAATGATAAATGGGTCAAGAACAGTACCTTGTTGGTTGATTTCAAGATTGAAGATGTTCTGAGAGTGAAGCCAGGTGAGATTAGGATTGGACTGGATTATGGTGTTGGGACTGGAACATTTGCAGCAAGAATGAGAGAGAAGAATGTGACTATTGTCACAACTGCTTTGAATTTGGGAGCTCCTTTCAATGAGATGATCGCGTTGAGAGGTTTAATCCCTTTGTACATCTCTTTGAACCAGAGGCTACCGTTCTTCGACAATACTATGGATATGATTCATACCGCTGGGCTAATGGATGGTTGGATCGATCTACTTCTGATGGATTTCGTGTTATATGATTGGGATCGAGTGCTGAGACCGGGTGGTTTACTTTGGATTGATAGATTCTTCTGTAAAAAGAAGGATCTGGATGACTATATGTACATGTTCCTGCAGTTTAGGTATAAGAAACACAAGTGGGCTATTTCTCCTAAATCAAAGGATGAGGTTTATCTCTCAGCATTGCTTGAGAAACCTCCTCGTGCAATCTGAAGAAGCTAATATAAAGTTTAAACTTGATTGTAATTGAAATTCTTACTCATTTCATTGTCTAATCTTTGTCTTAATTTGAATAAAATTAGAGATTTTTCAACTCTGTTTCCCTTTACTAGTTGAGGATTTTCTTGCCTGATAGCTAAATTCGCGACTATTTTATATCTGACCTTGAAACTGGCTAAAGTAGAGAAACAAAAGTTGGGGGCATTTTAGCAGTTCTAAACGACATTGATGGAGAATTACTATAATAAAACCATAAACATCAGCTTAAGTTACAGATCCAATGGTTCACTACCAAAAGCCCCTGAATTAGCTAAAAGCTTGTTCAGTAACTAAAATACCTCTGGTCAAGCTGTTATGTTGAATCCTTGAACTTCTAACACCATCTTCTCAGGTGAAGATGTCATCCATCTACTCTAGTTAACAGGAGGCTGGGACTTACCTAACGGAGATTCAAAAACAAAACCACCCAAATGAGTTGGCTTTTCAAGTTGGTACTAGAGCCAGGATTTGAGTCTTGATCCGTCCCATGCACATTTGGATTTCTCTGTAGATCGGTAGGTTCTGGGGGCATCGAGGCTGCAAGCTCGTGACTGCTGTGTCTATAAGCTGTGCCACATCAGCTGGAGGGTAATGTCTCTCCGTGCACATCTGCAAGTCACGAGAAAGCAAAGTACAATGCATTTAGTATGAAACTGCAGTTTGATTCAGATTTAGGATGAATGATGAATCCAATGCTGTCTAGGATAAGTGGCTTTTGACACATGAGGATCTAAGCAAAGACTTAACTTCCACAGAATTTCAATGCCCAGAAAAAAAACAGAGGTTACTAAGCCAACTATATTTCAGTTTAGTACCAAACACAAGTCTAGACTTAAGTATAATAGATTCATTAAGGCTTCCAGATGATCTCGTTGGGTATGCTATCTTTCCAAGAAATTTCCTGATTACCTGAATCATGAGCCAAGTGGCAACACAGGAGCTGATTAGCTCTGAAGGCATTTGAGCCTCGTTTTTCTCTGAACCATCTTGTGAGACGGCACCGTTGTTAGCCATAGGTTCCAAGGGAGTTGGGTTGTGATGATGTTCTATGCTTCCATTTGCATGCTCGTGATGTTTGACCATAGAGCCGTGTAATGGTTGGTGTTTGCCAATCAAGTCCAAGGCTACTTGGATCATTTTCCTCGCATCTTCTCCTTCCTTCACAGATGATGCAGCCTAGGACCATAGTGACCAAAGCTTTAACAAAACATATGTGTGTTGCAAGAGAATATAGGAAAGCGGCTGAATCG